CATGATTTTGTTCCCTCCAGCCTATTTAAATCATTTTTGAAGTCTACCCAGGTCCAACAAATTCAGATGTGAACAGTTTAACATTACTTTATAACTTCAAACCAAGCCCTCTCTTTTATTTCCCTTCAGTGTGCTGCATGTAGAGCTCTGAAGGACAGAAGAGCTGCTTTACGAAACCTTAAGAAACAAATGGACATCATCCGAAATGCAAACTCATATTTTCTCCTTGAAAATCCCCTTGAACATGAAAACATTAATTTTCTAGTTCTCTCTCCTTCCTACACTCAGTTCGCAAGCGCAGCTTTTAGGCAAAAAGCTACACCAGGGAAGATGATCAAATAAAGGAAATAACAACAAACTGCAGCTTTACCTTTCAGCTTCCCTTCAGCTTTACTTCCCAGAGCAAAGACAGATAATCCCTTTGTCAAATCTTCATGATAAAATTCTACTCGTATTTTATTACATCCTTTAACAACTTAAAGGAAGTCATGTCAATCTAGTTTGTTCAGAGAACCAACTGGATCTCAACTCGCATCCTTGTTTCACCTTCAAAACTTTGGTCAAGAGTTTGTCTATGATTCAATTGGTTGCTTAGTAAGAACTAGTGTTCAAATCATCACACTTGAAACACAAAACAGTAATGTACTTTTCCTTCTACACTATGTTAATGTGTTTTAATTAATTTGAAAATTCAGACACTTAGAACTCCATCAAATTAAATATCAGAAAAACTGCAAGGTCATTCACAATCACTAAAGCAAGCACACTGTATATTGGCTGGACTCTAAAAACTACAGACTACTATAGGACCATGAGACAATTTCTCACATATTAATACTCATAAGCAGGCAATATATCACATTAATCAGAGCTACAACAGAGCTACACAAGAAAGAGGAAAGAAAAAAAAAAAGACTGAGGAATTTCTACAACACCTAGATATATAGATATATTTATTTCAGACAGTCACAGGCTCTCTGCATATCATCATCATATAAGAAATTTTTCAGCATATAAGAAATTAGTCTACACTTTTAAGAAAGAGCTTTCAAAATACCAGTAATGCTATTGCTACTATGTATGATTATCTACTAAACTGTCAAGAATCTGACTCAGATTAAATCCCAGTGCAAAAGCTTTCTCAACCTAGTTACCACCAATTCCTGGGTAATTAACAGTCTCCTTTCAAAAGATAGCTTGTTATAATTATCTTTACTCAGATACATACTCTACTCCTCTTATTTATTTCTGCTATATATATTTACACGCACACATGCACCAGTAAAGCTGATAAGAATGACCTAATTTATGCTAAAAACTCCAGAGCACAAAATTGCTATTTTTTTTTAATTTGCATATTTTGGATTGTTTTAAAGGACATTAGAAGAGCAGCATATCTAACAATGTGAACAATTTCTGGGAAACGTTTCAAGATATTACTAAATAGTTATACTGTAGGCCTTGTTAATTAAGATACTGGTCTCCAGACATTTAATTGCTTCTCTATCTTCTCCACAGTAAAGAGAATTTCTTATCCATGCTTCCAGTGATCTATTTCAGGTACAATCCTGAAATCTCCTAACCCTACCTCTACTGGGACGCACCATAGGGCCAGGAGCCAAAGGCAATGTACTGTTTACCTGCAAGAACTGAAGGAAAAGGAAACTCAGGGAGCAGCTTGAAGGCAGATGACAACAGCTCTCCTGGAGCCCCACTGTTCTGCTGTGTGCAAGGACTGGACTGTGGCCTCGGTGTCTGGGACAATGAGCAGTGGCAGCCTCAGATGCACTTGGTGGCTCCTTCATTTTACAGTCAGGAATGAGGACAACCCGGCCTTCTGGCACAGCCCTACTGCTCGTCACATGATAATCACAACTGAGGAACTTTGCCTGAACCACTCAAAAGCCAAACAACATTGAGCAGAACAAACTGGCCACCTCCCTCTGTTTCATATCTGACCCTTCTTCCACATCTATTTCTGTGATCTTATCTCAAACTCATATTATATTATATTGCTTTTTCTGTTTGCTTTCTCAACTATCAGCTTTGCATATTTAGACTTTTTTGAAGTGCAGTTTTTCTCAGTAACTACATGAAAACCTGCTTCATAGCATTTCTAGTTGCAACTCTATATCATTCAAAACTCAGATACCAAAAAAATTCCTACTACTTGACCTTTTATATGCTGCTGTAACTCAACATATTATCCTGAGGATAGATACCTCAGTAGTTTTGACAATCAAGGTACTCAGATGCTCTATCCAAATTAGTAGCTATAGCATCTGTATCAAAAACTAATATCAGTTATCTACAAATATTAGATTTTGAGTTAGAATATAATCTTCGATTATAGAAGTTTGTTTAAAATTGTTCATTACCTCAAAAACTTGAATTAAAAATAATATTGATATTAATTCAAACAATTAATCCATTGATACCTTGCTTTTATTCAGAACATCTTTAGCTTCGTATCTCAGTGCTTAAGTAATTAAATGCTATTCACAAATTTATCTTATAACCTTAAGCAGAGAAAATAACTGATAATAAAATAACAGAAAAAATAATACCAAATAATTTCTAATGTGTATTAACATTTTGGTAGGTTTACTGGAAGACACTTCTGAAACAAAATAAAAGAGCCTGCAGTTATGAAAGGCAGCAGATGCAAATGGATAAACCTGCCCTGATAGTGCTGACAGGGAGAACCTACTATGTCAATATATTATCCAACTTTTAGGGGAGGGGAAAAAAGCACAAAAGCCAAGGAACAAATATTAAGCTCTTATAGGAATTAATCAAGCAAAATGTGAGTTAAATAGTTGTCTGTGATCAATGTTTGTATATATTCAGAATTTGTAAGGAAGAAGAGCATCCAGCATTAATCCAGATAGCAACCTCTCAAGCAAGAAGTATTTTGTATTAATAAGAGCCTGCTAGGAAAAAAAAACTGTACAAGTTTCACAAGTCTCCAAAATCAGGCTCTTATTCCAGCTGGTAATGAGAGTAGACTAAGTATTTGCTTTCAGTTTAACAGGTTAAATTCACAGAGAAGAAAACAAGTTTCCAAATTTGCATATAAATGCACACCTTATATTTTCAGAACCTTAACTTTAAAAATCAGATGCATTTTTTCTTTAAAAGCATTTTTTTTTTCTGATGATGACTAAATAACTGTCAGCTTCATTTGTGACAGTTTCTGATCATTTTCATTGCTAGGTAATTCTGGCATAATAATGCTCCGATCCGTGAAAAGTAAATATATAAATTATAACTGAACATGCATTAAAGCTAAAACTCATTGCGCAAACCGCAAGAATAACGACCTTTACTGATATCTTTTTTATAAATACAAATTGTTCACCAGAATTCATGAAGCCCTACATGTAGAAAATTTCCATAAAGGAATAATCATAAGCTGAAACGCATTTTCCATTCCTAAAAAAGATCGGGAGCTGTATGCAATATTTTTTGCACTGCTGTGGACTGTGCAACGTCCTAGTTTCGGCAGGCATATCAGGTCTCAAGAGCAGCCCTTCTGCAGAGCTCAGCGCCAGCGAGCAGCAGTTTTCCAGAACCGCCCGCCCTCCTCCAGGGCGGCCAATAAAAAATTAGCAACTCGCCCTTTAAACAGAATGAAGCAGCAAAATGAAATTTCAGGGCTGAGTATAAGACACCCTCTTTGAATGGGACTGGAAAGTGCATAGGAATGCATATATCTTACTTCAGCAGCCTCCTAAAGGGATTTTTTTTAACTTCGTTTCTAATGCCAAGTGTCAATTGAGATGTCATTCTTATAGCACTAACAGGTTAAAAATGCTTGACAGCTCAGACTTTGTTGGAACAGCCATAGCACTCAAAGAGAAAGTATATAGACATATATATATATACACACACATACACAGACACCAATTCACTGTATTCCAAAATGGAAAACTAATCTACCTGAGAGTACAAGAGCTAACCTAGAAAACGTTCACGATTCACTCCACCTTGCATAGACCTAACTGCAAGTGCACGCTCTCCTTTTTCCAATCTAAAAATGGAATTAACACCATGACAGGTTTCGTTCTGCATTAAAATTGCAAATCTTCTATGTGGCCTAGTTTCAGCTGCAATTGATCTGCTTTGTCGTCATAGTTAAAAAAAAAAAAAAGCAGCGAAGGGCACTGCAGCTTTAAATATTTCAGAGCTATGTAGCTAGTAAATAGACTCCATTGCAATATGGCTCTGAAGGTCGTGTCCTATTGTCTCTTTTCCCTGCAAATATTTTGAGCAGCACAAAATGGTTTATTTTATACAATACCTCCCTGCCATTTCTAAATCACGTCAGTTGTATTAGGCATTTCCTTACTGGAAAGGACAGATACGCCACTCTTTCCATACACACCCACGCTGCTTCTAGATGTCTTCTAATCGCACACCGTCAATATAACACCACAGCTATATGGAGCAGACAAATATGGTGTTTCATACACATACCTTATGCAAACAAAACCCCTTAAACCCAACCCAAGGACAGTTAGTATTTCAACAGGGACAAATTGATTTACTAGATTTCTAGTGAAAAAGCATGTTTGGATAAAACGTTCTGAGAAAACGGCAACCAGAAATTTTAATATCTCCTCCAGTTTCTCACATATGAGAGATCATGAAAAAAATAATTACAGAGACAGAGCACCGATAGAACAAAGTCTGCCAAACCTGTTTTGCTCTGAAAATTACTACATTTTTAATGCTAATAGTAATAATGAAAAACACTAGTGATATTTAAGAATAAATTACAAGAAAAGTAAGACATTAAACTGTAAGCGAAAATTTGGGATCTTTGTGTATGCACTCCCTAGGATCAACCCCAGTAATTTCATGAGAGGTGACTATTTAGTGCAGATATAAGTAATGGGGCTGCCTCTCAGGTGGAAGAGCACCATGAAATAACCCCCTGCATTAAATATAACTCTGTGACAGCTGTCACCATATAAAAGGCACATGCAGTCATTTACCTGAAAAGGCAACAGATTGTTGCCATTATCCGTCCTGAAAGCGTTGTCTTCCATCCAGGATTTGGGAGTTAAGGGTGCAGCCCGTGGGAACTTCGGAGGGGCAATGACATTGCTGGAGAAGGGTTTTTTAAGGGGGGAAATGGGATTGAGGGGGGAGGGTACGCCGACCCCCACGCCCACGCCAACCCCCACTCCAACTGCCCTGCGAGGGTCCCTACCAGCCTGCAGCCCACCCCAGGGGTTGGAGGGTGTACTCCAAGCTGCGTTTTGATGGTTATTCCAGCTGGAGGAGGAGGAAGAGGAGGCAGAGGAGGAAGACGGCTTGCTGGTCATGATGGGCTGATGGCTGTAAGCAGCATTTCTCTGGGCGAAAGGGGCCTGATTAGGGCTCACAGGTGACCTGCGCTGCTGCTGCTGCTGAGCTTGCTGCTGCTGCTGCTGATGTTGGTGGTGCTGAGTCTGAGCTAGGCCAATTTGAGGCGAGAAAGTGCCACCAAACACAGGGTTGACGTGGTGTGGAAAATTCTGGAAAAGCATTGTCCCATTGACTGGAGTAATCCCTTGGAAAAAGCTATCATCCACCGTGTTTGTGGTCCCTGTAGACCAGGTGCTGCCGAAGGAGGGAGACAAGGAGGTGCCGGCTGCGGGTTCTTGCTGAGGCTGGTGAAAGCTCAAGCCAGGCAAAATGGGGGACTCCATCTGCATCTTCTCCTTGCTATTTTGGGCAGAAGCTGCTGTGCCGATACTAGTCACTGGGCTGCTGTCTTCTGGCTTGGGTGTCTCCGACGAGATGGGCGTAGAGGGGGCTTCTGCTGAGTTTGGATCTTGCTGCTGCTGCTGCTGCCGCTGCTGCTGGGGCTGGGCTTTGCTTTTGTCCATCAGTAAATCATCCTGCATGGTTTGCGCAGCTGAAACGGTAGGGGAAAAAACCACAAAGACAGATTATTAGCATTGTCATTCATACTACAAACCAGGCTGTTTCAATCTTTTGCCTGCCAAAAATCTCGTCCTATTGCTAGCGCTACGCTACAGCAAGTTGCAAGGCAAACCCGAAATCTCCCCCTCCCCCATTTCGGAATATGAAACGCTTGATCGTGCCAGATTGCCTTTAAAATATATTTTAAGATGCTTCACCCTTTTTGATGCCTTGTTTCCCTTCAGTTTAAATGAGAGATGTGCTTATAGGGCAGAGATATACAGCAATTTCGCCACGTCTCTTTTCTCTTACACCGGAACTCAGAGCTCTCACCCTGCAATGAGAAACTGATTCTGGTTCCTGTTTTTCCAAGCACCCTCCTCCTCCTCCTCCCCCTGGTTATTTGCATACGTCAATAAATACTGCTGCGTCCTTCAGCAAGGTTAAAAAGACACCAGCCTGCGCTCTTCTCCTCCCCTTTTCTATCAGGGGACCTTTAAAGGAGCCGGGTGCCTGTTTTCCTTAATGAACAAACAAGCTTTCAAGTGTCCACGCTGAAGCGAGGGAAGCGCGCAGCACGTCTCGCGCGGAGGCAGGAGCTGCTCGGCGCCGCACCGGCATTTTCCGGCCTTTTCTCGCCAGGCAGCCGCCTTGCTGCTTGCTTAGGACGCCTGGAAAACGTCCTGGCGATGAGCTGGGCGCAAGGAGGTGCACGGACATTTCATTGCACACCCCTCCGCAGTTATACCGGCCTCCAGAGACCTTACAACCCTTCTGTTTAAAACGGTATTTTACGGCAAAGTAATCCCTTGCTGAAGGGCATTGCTACTCACTATGTTCCTACATAGGAAATATCACAAGGGGAGTTAATTCTTTAGAGAAACAAGGTCAAAATGAGCAAATCTGCCAGATAGTATTTGACTCTGAAGTTCCTCATGCTTTTGCAATAAAAAAGAATAAATCAAAATATTTTAAATATGGACATGCCACATTTCAAAAGCTATTTTAAAATGCACAAAAAGTAGCAAGGCAACTTATATGCTAAATCAATACATAAGCAGAAGAATTAAGGATTAAATGAAAGTAGCTAATGAAGTCTTATACCTGCTAGAAATGTACTTCATATAGGTCAATATCATTTATTTTAAAATACTAGCACTAATGTGTATACAGATGTCAAGGGACAGCAATTGCATCAAACTAAAACAGGCACCTCTGCTTAACGCAGACTTTTAGTCAATTACAGAGATCATTATAAATCTAAAAGTACTTTAAATGAGCCCAAATCACTTACTTTAATTGAATAACCATGTCAAAGATAGCCATTCCTGGATACCTAATCACATTCCTATTGAGCTAATCATATGAAGTTGTTTAATGAAACAAAGTAAACTTAAACCCAATCCATAAATGGATTAAGAAAAGTGTCAAAAAGTGCAGCCAATGACGCTCTGATCTCTGACATGAACTGTTCTCACAAGGTCCACACCTATCTTTAAGGCTTGTTTTTTAATCTCCAAAACATACACATTTGTTAATTAAAAATGAATGTCAGCACAGGTTTCTGCTATCATTTCGGTTACTGCTCAGGCTTTCTATTATTGCCCTGTTTAATATGTAAGCCTAACAACAAGGGCTTATGAACAGGCTATGCAGTGAACTAGCATTACGGCAAGGGCCTCAAAAGCAGGGAGGAAACTATTGCAGGGGAAAGGGCAGCGCTGCTGCTGCTGCTGCAGGGCGCAGAAAGCCTGCGAGGCAGTTTAAAGCAGTGCTGCAGCAACCGTTAACAGTCCAAGCTCTGGGTAGTTCTCCCTCAGCTGCATTTCTATCAAAGTCACCACTACTCTTAAGGCTGCATAGAACTGCTCCTGAGTCCACATGAGAGAGAGAAAAGGCAATGTTCATCCCTCCCCAGGTTCTGAAACATCAGTTAAAAATACATTTAGAGAGAAAAATATAGCAGGTGAAACATCAAAAAACTTGTTGTTAATAAAGTATATTTCAATCTGTTAGTCACCAAGTTATCTATAGTAGCTACCACAGCAGTTGTTTCAAATATGTATCTTGACCTAGCTATTTGTTTTTGAACTTTATCCTAAGGACTGCAATCCACATTTGTTTTCATATTACTTCTTTACAGAGGTAAAATCTCTGCATAACTGAAGCCTCTCATCAAGGTCAAGACCTACCTTTAATGAATCAAGCCAGTCTGAATGGAAAAACACTGGATAATAAAATGACTTTGAAAGACAGGCAAGGCAATGTCTAATGTTAGACTAATATGCAGTACCTCTTGATTATTTGCTGGTGTAAGTACTTGTGCAAATTTACAGTCCAGAACAGGAAATCTATATCCCCATAGCAATACCAGCTCCATTTCATGCAGCAACCCATGCAGTCAATGCAGAAATTCTTAAAGAATGGTTACCTTTGGATTTTCTGTGTTTAAATAGCAATAAAGTGACACTGGTTTATTTCCTTCTGTTGGATTTGGCATATGACAAACAGGCGCCCACTGTGGCAGGAGCACTTTGACAAGTGGTAGGCAGCAGCGCATGCGCTCCGAGGAATTCTGGGGTTTGGAGTCTCACTGAGCACCGCTGCTCCCGAGGTCTGGAGTGAGAACGGGTGTCTGGAAAGGAAGGGGCTTGAAAGCATAAAAATACATGCACAGACACCCTCAAAAACATAAAAATACATGCACAAACATGCTCTTAATCCCCAGGGAAAAGCCTTGTTGCAGTCTGACTCACTAGCTCTGAGAAAACAACTATCCGTCAATCTGAGCTGGGAGTCAATAATAAAATCAGAGCTTCTAATAGTTTAATTATCCAGATCCAGATCAAATAGCTACCTAGTAAGAACAGCAATCACTAGCCAAACTAGTACAAAAAATTATAAGCTTTTATCAGCTGTAAAAATATTGCAGCTATTACAGATGAGATTGTATCATGAGTTTTAGCAGAAGAAAATATTAATCTGCTATAGTATCATTTAAAAAAAACATATTCCAAAGCTTATACACAAATAAGATATGCAAGTTTTTTTAAAACAAATAAAAATCAGCACATAGGCATTAAATGATGCTATATAGTTTCAGATTTACGAATCACCATTTTTCAATACCAAATCATTAATTCCTTGGGAATCCTACCAAGAAAAAAATAGTAGACCTTTTTCATTTTAAAATTCTGTATGCCCTGTACTCCGCAGCTCCTGATTCCAGCTGCTTCCCTTCCACAATCCACATATCTCCAGCCTCCACTTCAGTACCCGTTCACACTGTGATGATTAATACAGGGCAGATGTAGTATTTAGAAGTTAGTTTACAGATGCTCGTGTTTGCTGTCTCACCCATGAATAGCCCTGGTTCTGGTTATTCTGGACTGAATGCTAATGCCTGTATGAAGTTACATAACTGAAATCAGCATTGTGAAAACAGCAGTGTTTTATAAAATTGAATGCTGATTGTTCAAAGGATCTGCGCTTTATGGATGAAAGACATGGCTAAAGCCGAGGGAAAAAAAAGAAATTAGGGAAGCTGAAAACGGGTTGTTGAAAAACAGGTCTTTGCTTTCTACAGTCTGTTTACGTTGGAACTGTATGGTCTGCCTGCCTTAAATCAATGTTGTAATTAAGGGTTTCTCAACACTTGCACTGACTTGTTTCTGCTGCTCTGAATCATTGAGGGCCAGGAAAACTGCCTTACAGCAGCTGAGAAGTCCTATTCTACTGAAATATCCCAGCTAGTACCAGGCTGCCTCTGTTCACTGAATACCACTCCTTTATGTCCATTTTTATTCCTGGATTATTGCTTTTCAGATGATTTGAAGATGAGTGTGGAAGGGACCACAACCTGTCACTTACATGCAAGGGGCAGCTTCATTCTGTTGATCAATCATTAAGCTAAGCAGAGGACTAGATGTCCAGAAATGGAAAAGAATTTTATAACCAAGAAAGTCAAGGTATAAAGGCATTTGAATATACACATATTAGTAGCCACTAGAAAAAAGAATGGTTACTTCTATCAGTTACCTCTTCAGTCAAGGAAAATTAAAAAGATAATATGAACAGCTGTATCGGCACACAAAAGCTTCATTCCATCTGATATCTGAATTACTTGACCTGCACAAGTTCCAAAGAAACAAATGTAAGAAAGGCACAAGTGAACCAAGCAAACTTGATGCATTTTTACTTCCTGAAATATATTTAGTGCATTCTTATTTCCTGAAAATCATTATTAAGTAATTTAAGCCTATGATGGGCAACAACGTATGCTAGGCTTTTTACCAGAAAGCGAGGGCTAAAGGAAGTATTATGATACTGAAAAACTTCTATTGCATAAGCATTTTTCTTAGGTCAGATTTCCTTCATTTTAGTTTCACTAAGTACTCCTTGTCTTGTCACAACGGAATTAAGTAAATATAATAGGCCTAACTGAACTCGTCATTTATTGTATGTGTTGCTTTCATAGCAGTTAAAATGCAGTATTGCCTTAAGAGAAGTAATGCTTCCATATTGCCAGGTTACTGCGCTTTGCGGAAAACTGGGAATAATTCCTGCACTCTCAGTATTGACACATCAGAAGAACTGTTTTAAGGAACCGCTACTTCTTTATTCAGCCTCTTTTTCAGGCTTTGCTGAAATGAGCCAGTAAGCACTTTAATATTATCTCTATATTTATTCTTACACTAATTACTTACAAACTTCTTTATTAAACTTTAATCTGGCCAAGTTTGTTAACAAATAATTTAGTATTTTAAAAGATGACCTGTCAATTTATAAATCTGACAGCCTAATTTAGGGCTGAATTTGCAAGGCTCTAAATAGCTTACACAATTTTTAGTGAGTTTCATCAAGTACTGTGCTTCCCATGGAAAGTTTTATTTAATTCAAAATAGCTGCTATATCCTGTTAGTATCAGTGAGGCTGAGCTCAGCCTAATCTCAGTTAGTAGCAAGTGTTTCCCTTCACTCACATGGGCAAAAAAAAAAGGAGTCTATTCCCAGGGGAGCTGCATCTAACTGGACTCAAATGCAGCAACAAGGCGAGGACTGAGCGAGACAACGCACTGAACACCTCAGAGACAGAAAGGAGGAAGAAAAAGGAATTTAATAGCAAATAATATGGGAAGTAATCATTTAGAAAATGCAAAAGCAGCAAGAGGCAACCTGAGGTTAGGCAATAGTAAAAATTGCCAGTGCAAAGCAGGAAGCTTACAGAATAAAAAGTGCAAGGAAAGGGAAGAGAAAGAAGGGCAAGGGGGGCAATGAATTGAAGGAGAAGACTGTTGGGGAGAATAAAGGAAGCATTTGAGCAGAGCAGCTGCATATCCGGCCCTGCTAG